CAAAACTCCAGTTTCTAGGTGCATATATTCCCATTTATTTTATGCACAGTGTTCCATCATGTCATGAAAATCCATTAGTATGCATGGGATGGGGCTGGGGAAGGGAGCTCCACATATTGTCATTGAAAACTCCTAAGGAGAGCAGAGCTGGAGGCCTTTGGCAGGAAGCACGAATCATTTATTGGCACTTAAGGCTGCCAGTCATCACTGCCCTACCAAACAACTGTGAGCTGGATACGCTCTTAGTCTATACAACCAAGGGCTGTGTTTCTCAGTCTGGAGTGATATGCTGGGGAGGCATGAATCCTCGGATTAAAATACCTCATCTTTTCAGTACTGACTGGAAGAATACAGCAATATATTTTTCTCAAGAGGCACTAATCAGGATTCCAATGGGAAATAGCTGGCACACTCAAAAGGTTTTTCAAAGGGATAATATTCTATTTACAGAGGTGTGTTGAGGATTAAGGGGACCAACAAGGAATGGTGAGACAGTGACAAGCAACAGCAAGAGGCCATTAGCACTTGTAGGCCTGAAGGGACAACTGGAGGGAAAGTTGTCCCTGGAACCCGTGAGTGCTGTGGCCAGACAGAAGAGCTGTTTCACTCGATGGCTGGCTGTAGGAACTCCGATGCTGCCCAGAATACTGGCACACACACACGCCCTAGTGGGGAGTAATGCTCAGAATGTTCTCTCATCTGCTGATATCCTACAAGAGGGCAAGGGAGCCTGGGTGGTACAGGCACAGGAGACAGACCCCTTGTAGGCAGAGAAGGGCGAATAATGAATCTAGAAGAACAAATGGAGAAGGCCCAGCACACAAAAATAGACACATAAGGAAGAATACTCGTGAGTTGTAAAGTCCCATCAGATTGGAACAGGGCGGGGAGGGGAAAGGGGGAGGACAGAGACAGGGAACTGCCTTCATGTTGATTTGGTGGGGGGCAGGGCATCGGCTTGAGAGAAGTGAATCTGAAGCTCAGCAAAACTTAAACCTACTTTCTTGGACCTAGATTCTTGGGGAACATGGTTGTTTTTAGGTGATAATTTAATATTTTTCCTTATTCTTAAGAAAGGTGTCTCGTTAGCATGTCTGCTCATATCCTTGAAGCTGAGGTAAAATAAGGGAGGTGTTTTTGATCTAGTTTGGGTTAGAAGTTGAAGGAGATGGTCTATGGTCTTGGGCTGGTCCCAGTGAAGGAGCACAAAAGTCCCTCAGGGTGAAGCTTGGGACCCACCAAGTGATAGACATGGTCCTTCGAGAGCTCTCTTTCTGTTGTGCATGCTTTGGTAGATTTCTCTTCCTTGCTCTTCAACAAAGGAGGCCCTTCCAGGCCACTGGTCAGATTGACGGCTTCTACTTTCAATGCTTCCTTGTTGTCCTGGAAACCTATCCCAACTCTGAGCCAGAACAGGGGACTGTCACATTTTCTTCTTTTTCTCAGGCCCACACCCCTCTCAAAAGCCAAACACCCCTCCCCACCTCAGAGCAGATTCCCCACTGAGGGCAGAAAAAAGTCTGTGGCTGCATTGCCCAATATGGCAGACTGTAGCCACGTGTGGCCATTTACAGTTTAAATGAAATGACAGGCATCCGGTGGCTCAGTCCATAGAGCATGTGACTCTTGATGCTTGGGGTTGTGAGTTTGAGCACCACGCTGGGCGGAGAGATGACTTAAAATCTTTAAAAAATTAATTTTAAGTGAAATTAAATGAAAAAATTTAGTTTCTGAATCACATTAGCCACATTTCAAGTGCTCAACAGTCACACCAGCTGTGTTGTATTAGCACAAAACATTCTCATCATTATAGAAAGTTCTATTAGACAGACTGGTCTAGACCCTTCTCGGGGCCTTGGCTGGGCAAGGGGCTGGCAACAGGATTCAAAAATGGTCTTCACCTGCAGAATCTTCTCCTTGATAACAGGAGACCCTATCTGGGCTTGTACGGTTTTCTTGTGCAGCCAGCAAAATACTGATGATCATGGCAGCCTACATTTATGTAGTTCTTAACATGTGTGCAAAACAGTGTGCTAAGGGTTGTTAATACATTGTTGTGTGATGACCACACAGCTGACAAATCACTTGAATGATGCAGAAACCGAGGCCCAGAGAAATTAAGTGACCATACAACTATTAGCTTATACCATATGGAATCCCTGATACTCAAGCCATTTTTGATTCAACCTCCTAGTAAATGACAGAGCCAGGGTTCAAATCCAGATCCAACGACTATGTCAGGTTCAGTGTGGCTGAGCCTCTGTAAGTGATAACCTTGAGACCTACTTCATAGGGCTGTAAAGGATTCATTGAAAGAATTTTGGCTCTGTGCCTGGAACGTTAGTCTACTAACGTTTGGCTCTCTGCTTTTGGAACGTTAGTCTTTTCGGTTTTAATTTTCTTCTCTTATTATCGCTGTCTTGGAAGGTAGAATACAGCTGTCTGAGCAGATGTGCCTAGTGAGATGAGGGGCGGGGTGGTGCACTGCCATTTACCAGATCCCTTCACAGAGACCTGGAATAGCTCCTCTTCCTCACCAAGCACTCCCCCAGCTATAATCCCAACCAGTCCCCACCTCTTTCCATCAGGGCCCCGAGCCCAGGGAGGGAATGTGATGAACATTGGCTCTTCCCATTCCCTGTGCCCTTAAGAGCCTAGCAGATGTACTTCATACAACACCAACCCTCCACTGGAGACCTCGGAAGGAGCTGGAAGGCTGGAGGCGGGACCAGAGGGGCTACTGCTGCCCTGAGCATGTCAGGTGGTTATATAAGCTCTGCTCCAAACCTCCTGCATGCTGTAACTCTGTTTTCATGATTGTTTCTGGCAAGGAGTCAGATTTGAAACTCCTCCCTCTTTTATTTAGCAAGAGGGGAGAGAAGTGTCCCCTGGCTGAGTGTCTTGCTGTTTGGGGTTTTAGGACTTGGGGGTAATTTCCATATGAGGCAATTTTGTATTTCAAAAACAGTAATGTTAGCTAGATATTAAAAATATGAGATGCCTGGTTAAATTTGAATTGCAGATAAGCAATAGATAATTTTTTAGTAGAAGTATATATGATACAATATTTGGGACATATTTCTACTAAAAAATATTATTTATCTGAAATGCAAATTTACCTGGACATCCTGTATGTTATCTAGCGACCTTACAATAATTGGGCTTCTGTCTACCCTTCAGATGCTAGGTCATTTATGATGATGTTAAGGACACTTGGGGATAAGGGGGAGACATATCTAGTTTTGCCGACAGCATCCTAGTTTCATATTCACAGCTCTTTGTGAAATGATTTAGACTCATGGTTCTCAAAACATGGTCCCTGGACCAGAAATGTCAACATCACCTGGTATTTGGTAGAAATGCAAATAAATTGCCATGTCCCGCCCCAGACCTATGAATCAGACACTCTGGGGGGTGGGATTCAGCATTCTGTCTAACAAACCCTGCAGGCGATGCTGACACAGTTTGAGAACCACAAGTTTAGACTCTGAGCAATCAGACGGTCCTGGGCTTGAAACCCAGTCCCACCATTTACTGACTGTGTCAACTTGGCAGAATTACTTATCTTCTCTGAGCCTCTGTCTTCCTAAACAAAACTGAAATATAATGCCTTACTTAGGGATGTATTAAGGATTAAGTGAAGTTACATATTGTGAAATAAAACCCACAGTGCCTGTTATTGTAAGAAAGCACAAAAAATTACTCTTACTTTTATTGTACAAATAGAGGTCCATTGGTGTCCTGAGACAGATTTGACGGTCAGCATGGCAAAAGCCCTAGTTACAGGAGTGATCTCTGCTCCGTTCGAACAAGGCTTTAATTTCCAGAAATGCAATTTACAGCAGTCCTATGGAGGGAGGGAGGAATTAGGAGAGGAAGCAGGGCAAGAAAGCACGGCAAGAAAGCACCAGGACCCAACGGGGATTGGTTTTCTGATCCACAGACAAGCCCAGAGCAGAGAGCCACATTGATTGAATTCCCTTCCTTCAGTGCTCCACCCAGAATAGCTGTCCAAAAGGCAGGGTTTAAAAACAATTTTTTTGTTTTTTTCATGGAAAGGTGAAGGAGAGGAGGCCTGAGAGGGGAGGACGTGTCAGGGTGCCTATCAAGGGAGGGTAATTGGCACACTTGGGCATGTTTCACAGGGAGGGCCTGGGGCCTCCTATGATCAGCTTTGGCTCTATTGACTTTTTGGGTCAGAAAATTCTTTTGTTATGTGGCTGGCCGGTGCATGTGGAGCAGCATCCCAAGCCTCTACCTATGAAATGCCGATAGCCACTCGCATCCTCCCTCACAGTGGTGACAGTCAAAACCATGTCTAGACATAGCAAATGTCCCAGGATCAAGGGGGCCTAGGGGTGCCAAATACCCCTGGGCTGAGAACCACCTGTCTGGAGAGTGTATTAGACAACAGCCACTCACACAATTTTAACAGCTACCATTTACTGAACATATATTATCTCCAATCCCCGTCCTGATCTGACAAGGTAGGTCTTATTACCTACTTTTTACATTTGAAGAAACTGAGGCTCAGACAGTTAAAGCAACTTCCCTAAACTCTACATCCAGTAGGTCTAGGCTTCTGACTAAGGTTGGTCTAACTCTAAAGCTCACGCTACAACATTCTCTCTTCCTCTCTCTGGAAAATGAAGGATTTTTTTTTTTTTTCTTCAAGAAACTCTTCTCATGTCAACTCAAGTTCAAAAATACTTATTGAGAAGCCATGAGAAGCTGTAACAGAAATATAAGATGTTGCTTCTCTCAAGGAGTTTTTAGTACCAGTGTCACTGGGGAGGTCAGACTCCTACAACACCGTTAAAGAACAAACGAGGCAGTCCCAGCTGGGGCCAAAATGGACATTTCCAGAAGTAGAACTCTGAACTGGCTGCCCTTTGTGTATGACTGTCTCCTATGTCCTTGTACTGTCAATTCTGATAACACAAAGGAGGACTGAAACCTTGAGGTTCACGGGGTCTACCACCCATGTGTCCTTTGAAACATCAACTCTCTTGCCTTTGTGGGGGCTGTAGGTGGCTTCTAGCCAAACACTCCGCCATCTTCTTTCTGGCTCTTTGCAGGAACTCTACCTTTCCCCTTTCCCTTCTCATGGCAGTATACTCATAAGCTTTGAGCTTGCTGTAGTAATCAGAAAATTTGTTGTAGAGGATGGAGATTGGCATCCCATTGAGGATAATTCCAAAAGCAATGCAGAGGAAGGCAAAAAGCCTTCCCAGGATGGTCTCTGGGTACATGTCTCCGTATCCTACAGTGGAGATGCTCACCTGTAGTGGAAAGAAAGTGAGATGGAATGGTTAGCAATGTGATGGAGAAGAGAAGGAGAGAACCAGGTAGGAAAGTGTCCTCTGACTCCCTGAAGGTACACATAGGTCAGGTAACAGTTCCCACAGAGCCAGCTTTAGGAGGTACCAGAAGGATCTGCATCATGGAAAGAACACAAGCTGTAGAGCTGGAAGTCTTGGGCTTAAATCCTGACTATTATAAATTTTCTTACACACAATACAGGAGATATCATAGCTACTTTAAGGGGTTGCGAAGAGCATATAAGTTGCCGTGTGTAAAGTTCCTGGGGTAGGATGGCTTCAATAAATGTTAGTCTCTGCCTACCCTCAGAGGGGTCAGCTTTAGGACCAGGGACCCTGGGTTTGCCCACATGATAGGCGTACCAGGAAGAGCTCAGGCTCAGAACCAGTCATATGTGGGTCCAAGTCCTAACTCTGACCCTTCCCTGCTGAATACCCATGAGCAAAACGTTCAGTCTCTGAGCCTTGGTTCCTTCATCTAAAATAGGATAATACCCAACTCTTCATCTTCTCCTGAAGACTAAATAAGAAAATGAATATAAAACACTTAACCAGGCCCACAAAAGGCATTAAACAACCTCCTTGGTTGTGCTTCTCTCATCTTTAAAATGGAGACATAATTATATTATAATTAATACTTCTTGGAGTTATTATGTCATTCAAATGAGATATTGTATATGAAGGTGCTCTAATTACAAATGTCTGGAGAAACACACTCTCGTTATTCTGCAAAGGGACTTTTCTGTAAGACATCACAGACCAAAAATATGTTCATACGGTATGAAATTTCTCCCATCACTCTTGCACACTGCTTTAAATTCCACTAATTAGGGATTTATTTAGGTTAACAAGCTTCTGTTTTAAAATGCAGATACCCATGGGACTAGTTATCAGTCAGCGGAGCCGGAGAAAACCTGGGAAAATCTCTTGGGGCCTATTTTTTAAGCCTCATGTACTGAGCCTCCCGTCGATCCCCAGACTCTTGGCAAATTACTAAAAGGCTTGTAGGCAGGGCTGTTCCTTAGTTGGGAAAAAAAAAAACCCTGTGCCTTGCACAACTCCAGGGGGCACTGTTTGCTTCATCAATCTGTGGTGTTGCCACGATTTCCTGGCAGGTTGTATTAAAATGCACAGTTGGCCTGTTGACCTGTACTAAGATGGTGTTTAGCTTAGAAATATAAACATTTTTGTTTTGATGTAAGGGTTAGTTTGAACTTAGGGTAAGTGTGATTGATTAGTTAGGATGGAATAGAGAAGCAGGCCAGCTGGGCTAATCTGGTATTGCTGATAAGAACCACAGCTCCATCCAGGCCATAAAAAAGTGATAGCTTGATCTCCCTTTTTTTTTTTTTTTTTTTTAAGATTTTTTTTTTTTATTTGACAGAGAGATACACAGTGAGAGAAGGAACACAAGCAGGGGGAGTGGGAGAGGGAGAAGCAGGCTTCCCTCTAAGCAGGGAGCCTGATGTGGGACTCGATCCCAGGACCCTGGGATCATGACCTGAGCCGAAGGCAGACGCTGAATGACTGAGCCACCCAGGCGCCCCGCTTGACCTCCTTTTTGAACCACTTCTCACTGCTTCATCTACAGTGAGGGATCAGCTGAGGGTGCGCTGCCGCTTCCCATGTGTGGAAGAATACAAGCAAGCACCTAAGAGAGGCAGGATGGTGTAGACTAGTTTAAGGAAACAGAGATGGCATTAGGCTACATGGCTCTGAATCCACCTCCCAGCTGTGTGACTTGGGCAAGTCCCTTACATTCTCTCTGGCTCTGCTTCTACTTGTGAAATACGGAGAATAGTAGTTACCTACCCCATAAGGGTGTTAAGGGAGTGAAGGAGTGCCTGGTGCAGTGTGTGAGTGATAATGTTAGTTCTCATGCTTATTTAGTCCAATGGGCTGGGGCGCCTGGGTGGCTCAGTTGGTTAAGCGACTGCCTTCGGCTCAGGTCATGATCCTGGAGTCCCGGGATGGAGTCCCACATAGGGCTCCCTGCTCAGCAGGGAGTCTGATTCTCCCTCTGATCCTTCCCCCACCATGCTCGCTCGCTCTCTCTCTCTCAAATAAATAAAATCTTTAAAAAAATAAAAAGAAATAGACCAATGGGTTGTGGAAATGGGCTCCTGCTTGGATCCTGCTGAACAGGAGGGAAACGGGGTGGGGAGCACTGTGGCTCCAGATTTTTGCACCAAAGGGTGATGAGAGGCAATGGTACTGTGAGATTGTGGGTTAATCTCAAAGTATGCTTGTAACTGGCCGTACCCAAAGTAAAAGAACTTGAGTCAGGTCTCTGTCTGGGTACATGAACTGAAACATGGCTTTCATAGGTCACGAAGCACAGCACTCATACCTCTGTATGAATGTTGAGTCACTCAGTCTACGTGGTGTGGAGGAAGCCTACAGGGAGTCTGGTAACACGGGTGAGTGACAGGAAGGAGTAGTTCAGGACAGGAAGCACCCATGGAAGGCCAAAGCAGAGGCTTTGAGGTAAACCAGCCCGCAAGATGGGAGACAGGAGGCTAGGACGATGCAGAGGAAGATAACTGAGACAAAGTGCTTATTTTAAACTTCTGATCCATCCCCACACTGGCTTTACTTTACTCCCAACCTCGGCTTCATTTTTTTTTTTTTTTTTTTGGCTGAACTTCGAGTGAACGATCAAAAGCGAAGAGAGTTGTTAGCTTAAGGCAGATTAAATATTTGATGCTCATAATATGGTCTAAATATTTTTGTATATCTTGGATCTTTATTTTTAGAGAAAAGATCTCTTCTGCTAGGAGACTGTGTGACTGGTCCTGAAGAATTTGTTCAAAATGTACAGCTAATCTTTACATGGTCTGTTCTCTGCACAGTTTGACTCAACCAGTGACTTGGTTCTTGCTCCTTGGCTCCAAGAGGAATGCAGAATTCCTTGGCTTTGGAGGACTTTTCTCCATGCTCCACAGACCAAACCCATTTCTCCCTTCATAAACATTAAAAATGGAAAGCCCTAAACTGACACAGGTGGCCTCAAAGAGTGAGTTCTCACATTAGGAGGGGTTGGGTCTAGAAATGTGACTAGAATTCCTGCAATCCATCTTAATATCCTGAAAACACTGGCTGGCTCAGCCACTCCATAAACTGGAAGCGTACCATTCCGTGCAAAGCTTACATATTTTCCCTAGCCTTTGAGTTCCAAACACCAGAATGTGACCTTCCCTCAGAAGCTCACCCATTAATCAGCAAATCTTGGCCTCTTAAACATTACAAGGAGGACAAGCATCCAGTTTTTCTCTGAAACTTCAGAATGACTATACTGGAATTTCTCTTTCAACAAGGAATGTTTGTTTCCTGCGTAATGAACGAGGCATAGATTAAATCTTGGCACCCAGTAATCCACGTATGTAGGAAATACCCCAGGGAACACAACAGATTTTTTCAAAATAATGAACTGCCCCCTTCTTGTGTTCCCAAAAAATTTGAGGTGGTGAAGATAGTGGTTTCTGGCTAAAATTATTACACACCTCAATGCATACTGTCCTTTAAAGGATTTAGCTTCAAAGGCTACATGTAGCCTATCCATGCTGCTGTTGCTACAAATATTTGAAGAATTCCTCTTTGGATTATAATCTGCACAGAGGATTCAGTGGTATGACTTTGAAACAAGTAGTCTTAGCCACCTCAAGGGTTAACTCTAGATGTCAATCTTAAACTCAAGGGTCTTGACTGTATTTTAAAATATCAAATCTACCCTCCAAAAGATGAAGATTTGGCACCATTACAAAGAAGTAAATGGACATATCACAGTCTCCAAAGATAATTCCTCAGTGGAATTAGGTCATGGGTGAAGACAGGACCTTAAAGAGAATCAACCAGTCTCATCCCTATGTTAAAGTTGTGACATGTATGTAAATTGTGCAATAAGGAGGTGTGCAAAAGCTAAGGCAAACGTGGGATCCATTCATCCAGCCATAGAAAGGTACACGCAGTAATGATGATGTCGTCTGTATCCACCGTTTACTTGGTGCTTTTCCCTGTCCTCTACAACTCCATGTCCCACACGTCCTACTGACCCACAGGAGGATCATAGTTGAAAGACCTAAAAGGGGACCACCCCAGAGTTGGGAGTCCACAGGAGCAAAATTCAAAGTAGTGCCTAAGAGCCTTTGCCCCATTTATGGCTCCTTTGCTATTTCTGAAGGATCTAAGGGGATGCTGCCTCCTTTGACTGCCGTCTAATGCAGACATTGACCCATTGTCTCTCAGTCCCAAGCGAGACACCCTCTGTACTTTTTCCCGCGGTCCTGCAGTGGGGAGTCTGCAAACTACATTTCCCAGACCACCTTGCTCACTGACTTCTGGTTGTGTTCTGCAAAGGAGAGAGAGTGTTGGGACACTGAAGGTGGGTGAGGAACTGAGGGTCTCTATTCCTGTTTCTGGTGTCTTTCACCATCCAATAAGCAGATAGCCGGGGTTCAGGCATCTTTTGGCACATAGGACACTAACCTCATGGTGTCATCGTAAGAGTCCCTGCGACAGCCCCTCAGTAGCTCCTTCTCTGTTCTTGTCAGTTCCAGTAATTTGACCTATTTGTTCCCCCAGTTTTAGGGCTGATAGCTATTGCATGCAGTAGCCAGTCTCTGGGGTCTCTTTGTTTCTCCCTGCTGCTCTTCCAACCTTCTAACATTCCTGTATCTATAACCCTGCATCAAATTCCATCTGTTTAAAATATCCACTTTTTTTTTTTTTCCTGTTTTCCTGACTAACTTGGCTGATGCACCTTCCAAATGGGTCTTCTTAAAGCAAGCGATCAATCCATAAAAATAAAATCTCAGTGATCTTGTAAGTGCCACCTATCTGCAAGGACATGATAACATGCTTTGGGAAAACAAAGATAGGACAAGGTCTCTGTGGCACAATTATCTGTTCCCTCAGCTAGAGAGAAATTTTCTTTTTGCAGAGTTTTTGTTAGTTTTTGAAGG